GATCCTTTAACCGACAAAGCTTGTTACCAATTGAGTTTGTGGGTGGTTTGAATCCCAGCCACGTTTATTCCTGCCAGCCTTGTTAAGAATTCTGCGTAACGTGGTTTCCGAGGTTCCTTCCTTGTACGGAATTACTACTGATGATTTAGATTTCTTATTGTTGGTGTCGTCATTAATATTATTCTTATTACCATCACTATTATTATTATTATTATCACTATCGCCATTATCATTATTTATTTTATTTTTACATTTCCTTAAATATTTCCTGATTAATTTATCGGGGTAATCAATAAGTTTTAAGGCTTCTCTTATTTGCTTCATTTCCTGTCTTAGATTTTCCTCGGTACTACTTAGTTTTTGTGCTCTATTATTCAAACATCTCACCAATCCTATTTTTACTGACATTGGGTTGGAATGGTCTGAAGTCCAAATATCTGTTTGAATGTATGGGTTTCCTGTGAACACTAGTGTTTAACTTCCCATCTTCTTTCCTTTTTACGCTACAATCTAACTTTGGAAGTTCCTCTTCTTGACTTTCCAATTCATAAGTGAATTGATTTGCCTCTACCTTTGTTGTGTTGATGTGTTCGAAAAATCTATCTATATCTTGTGTTCTAAGCACAGTGAATGTGTCATCTATATATCTCCACCATACTTTTGGGGTGGAGGTAAACTTTTCAATCGCTATGTTTTCCCACCTATCCATAAATATATCTGCTACACACGGGGATATTGGTGATCCCATGGCAACCCCTTCAGTTTGTTTGTATATTTTTGTTTGGAATTTAAATACTGTGGAAGTCAAGGATAGCTGCACTCCCACCATTATGTTCTCATGTGGTAATTTTGTCCTAAGTTTGAGTTCTTGGTCAAAAATGAGTTCGTTTCCGACTGCCTCTGTAGCCATATTTATTGGTATATATATATGCCTTGTTACGAATTCTGCGTAGGGTTTCCTATGTTCCTTTCTTGAATGGAATTACTACTGATCATTTAGATTCCTTATTGTTAGTGTCGTCATTATTATTATTATCACTTCAACACTTTCCCAGTCAAACTGATGTCCATAGCTGCCTACAGGCATCATCAGTGTGAAATACTACATGTCGTGTCTCATGACCAGTATTGTGGTCATCACGTTTCATATAATTTATTTTTTTGTAGGTTTGTGTTGATCTTGTCTCCTTTTATTACTGTAGAGTAAATCTTTTCTTTTGCATATTAGTAGTGAATAAATTGATTGGTTTGATTTGTATATATGATGTCTACTCTGAATGCTTTTAGTATTCTAGCTGTTATTTCATGAACACTCTTTATACATGACAAGATCAATTTTCTTGTCGTTTCTAGCTGATATTTTAACTTAAGAGTAAACATTTATGTCGATATTGTAGAGGTATCCAGTCGTGACCAGTAGGGTGAAGTAGTTCAGGTGTGAGGACAAATACTTGCCGAAGACATTGGCGCTATATCTCGAATCGGCAGAAGCTGGAATTCATCGGCTGGCTAGTGGATAGGGTCAGAGTGGCTTAATGGTCTGCTTTCTCGCTAGTCTTGTAACCAGAAGGTCCTGGGTTCGAACCCCAGTGGGGTGTGTGCGTACTGCTGAAGAGTCTCAAACGAGGACGAAACAGTTGTTCAGTACTCCTGACTGGTTTTCCAATGGTTCTGTAACTAATGTCAGCACATGACGAAATCCTGTATCCATTTTTCTTGAAGACAGCTTATAAATATTTCTCCTCTGTCCTCTCCAGGATTGGAGTTAATGAAAGGGAATGTATTAACCAAGTTCTAAGTAGCTGTTTATACAAAAATATGGTATTCTGCTACATTATTTAATAGAACGGCTTTGCATTATTTATAGTAAACTGATAGACTACAGAAATGCTTATGTACACCCACTTATAAGTGTTTTATCAATACATCTAACTATATTTTTCAAGTATTGGTTATATAAAGAATTGTATTTTTTATTGGATGGAGGATTTCATCATGCGCTGACATCAGTCAGAGAACCACTGAAAACTGGGGAGTAACTGACACATCTTTCGTCCTAATTTTGGACTCTTCATCAGCACGCACACACTGTCAGGGTTTGAACCCAGGACCTTCTGGTTACAAGGCTTCTCGTAGACCATTAAGCTGAAGAGTTCCAATGGTTTTCTAACTGATGTCAGCTCATGATGAAATCCTCCAACCAATCAAACAAGAATTTGATTCTCACTAGCAAATGGTTCCATTCAGGTAGTTAACTTGGGGTTCTAGTGTGATGCCGTGACCAGTAGGGTGCAGTAGGTCGCAGGTGAGGCAGTAACTCATCGAGGAAGACACCAGGAAGTGGTCGGGCTATGTCATGTATTGGCAGAAGTTAGAATTCATAGACTGGCCATTGGGTCGGTTCGGTCCCAATGAATTAATGGTCTATGATCTCGCTCCCCTTGTAACCAGAAGATCCTGGGTTCAAAGCGTGGTGGTGGGTGAGTACCGATGAAGAGCCTCAGACTAGGAGGAAACAGCTGTGCAGTATTCTGAAACATCTAACTATAAATACTTTAAATACCTCAAAAAAAAAGATTAAGAAAATGATCAATTGATGATAAACCCTTTACAGTTTCTATTTGTTACACAAGCTGGCTGACTGACTTATCGTATAAGAAGCTTCTCCATAAAAGTTTATCAGCTCAGGGTCTCACATTTTGGAATGCACGTAACTAAGATTGAGGTGTAAGCGATTGATACCTTGTCAGACAGTGATAGCAGCTTACGGAGCACGATGCTCCAAATTTACTCAGTTGTACTTTTGTTTTAACCACTTATTTACGTTCTCGAAGAATAATTTGTACTCATGAGCACTTTTGAATGACTTCTAACATACCAATAGGTCAGTTTTCAGGAGAAAAATGCGTTATGGTTGAAGGATTTTTCAGATTGAACAACATTTTGTCAAATTATTATTGTTTTTTCAAGTTTAAACATGGATTAATATCAGTTAGAGCACCACTAAAACCCAGGGAGTACTGATCAGGTGTTTCATCTTACCTCAAGACTCTTCATGAGTACGCTCACTGTAGGGCTGAAGCCGAGGACCTTCCTATATACAAGCAAGCAAGCAGGCTGGTGGACCATTAAACCTTTGGGACCCAATATCATGGCTCATGAATTCTAACTTCTACCAATTCGTTCTAACTCATGTATAACTGAATCCTAGTTCAAGTGGCTGAATGGTGGACGAGCTTGGTCTTGTAACCAAAAGTCCTAGAGTTTGATCGCTGATGAGCTCTTGGGGAGACACTTCAAAGAGTCCCCAACTGGGACGAAACGGTCATACAATATAGTCCCTGGTCCTCTAACTGATATCAATCTGTGACCAAACATGAAATAAATCAAATCCCCACAAATTAACTCCCTAAGGTTATTGTTTTATTTAAAGCAGTACATAAAAACACACTAGAAATTCTGTATGTTCTATTAATTAGTTGTTCAGAATAAAGCTCTTATAAATATTCAAGAGTTGATTTGCAAGGATTTTGCTTGCTTTTCGAGTTTGACCACGGATTGATATCAGTTAGAGAACCATCGAAAACCAGCCACAGGGAGTACTGGACAGCTGTTTCGTCTTAGTTCGGGACTCATGGGCAGTACACATCCACACTGGGTTTCGCACCCAAGACATTCCGGTTACAAGGCAAGCTGTCCAGTCCTCTGTGGTTTCCAGTAGTTCTTTAACTGATATCCATTCGTGATAAAATTCGAAAATAAATAAATCAAATCCCTACAAAACAACTCTTGAAAACTAATCTGACGCTCATGGTACAGGACGAAGTTTCCTGGAGGTCTCCTAAGAAGTGCTGACCAGCGAGGTGCGTCCAGTCGGGCGTGAGGATGGAGTCCTCGCCGATTATACTGGATGATGGTCGCGCTAAAATCGCGAATTGGCTGAAGTTTATATCATTGTTGTTCCCTTGGGTTCCTAGTGAAACATACGGCTTCAACTGAACGTCTCCACTTGCCTCTGTCTTCCTTCTGCTGTAATTTTCACCTGCATCCATCCATATTAGTCCATACTATTTCAACTCCTCTTCACACGATCTCCTCCATGTCACCCACCCTTGCACTGACGTCCCGCTCGCCGCGTGCTTCCCTTTCGGCCTGACGCGCGCGATGTCACCCAGTGGTGGCCTTCTCAGCGAGCGAGTGTCCAATCCATCCATCTCCACTTTCTCCTGCATATTTGTTGGGTGATCGGTGCTTGTTTTGTTTGTTCCAGCCACAGTTTCCCATAGGTGGTGATTCTTTCCGGCCCGGCCATCTGATCTTCAGTATAGATCCAGCGAAGATAGTTGCTGGTTGATAAAGGTCTACATCGCAGCAGGCTGTTGGAAATATTCTATGTGACCCACCTGCCAAGTTTCTGATCCATATTGAAGAACTTATTGACTTGAAGTTGTTTGTATTGGAAATCCGAGCGAATTTTGTTGTTGATGCTGGCTGAGTGACGAAGATTTCCTTCGAGATTGGTTTCAGGTTGATGAATGTGTTTCTCGCTCGCCTTCCCAATTCTCGCTCGATTCGACATTCTCGTCCGTTGCGACTGCCTGTATTTGAGACAATGCTCCCTAGATAAATGAGTGAATGAAGTAACTCACCCTCTGGTTGATGATTGGCGCTGGATGTTGCTGCTGCTGTTGTTGTTGTTGGTTGGTTATTTTCATAACCTCCGTCTTGTCGATGTTCACCTGGAGTCCTGTCCTCACTGTCTGCTTCTTCGACCAGTTTGTCAGTTTTCGCCTGTCAGTCTTCGATTTTGTGTGATATCAAACTTAAAGTATTAGTATTATGAATATTATTATTTGTTTATTAATTTAAAGCACTTGTGTAACACATAATACGTGCTTTCTTCTTTTTTCTTTCTTTTTTATACCTCCACGTGGGTGAAAATTTGTCACGTAAACAAATTTCAAAAAAATTTAACCAAACATACCTAAAACAAACGAAAGAATCCTTATCACCAGTTCAGTGTAAATGTCATAATCCGTGTGAAACAATCTCCTATTCAGTCGAGTCAATAACACAAGCATTAAAATCTCCATTATTATTTACACATCCATTGAGCGTATTCACTAATGTAAATCAGTCGAATTTTGAGTCAGACATTTATGCAAATAATAATGTAGGCGGTAAAGCAAATCCTTTTACTCAAAAGCATCATGATATTATGAGATCAATATCGTCCATTTCCCAAATACCAATAGTAATAACAATAATAATAATAACAATAGAAATACTATTAATAATGATAATAATAATCACAAAAATGTTATTATGCGGAACAATAAGGATTCCAGTCAACCTCAGCAATATTTGCATTCTTATAAAAAAGAAATCTGGGTAAGCTGCCTGTGTATTTTTAAGGCTATATTCTTGCCACCCCGCACCTACCCACCGTTTTTCGCTTATATTGCTGAATTATTTTATGCTGAAAACGTTTCATTTGAAAGGGTTAATTACCTGAGCTGTTCTTGGACTGTCTAGATTTTGACTATTAGACAAGATAATCTGCCTGAATTTGAAGTTAACGCGAGAGAGAAAGAAGAGTAACATGAAGAAATACAAGGTTTTTAATGGGTATGCAATTTAACAAAGAATGAATGCATCTCAGTCAGGGGGAAAATGGTTTGCTGCCCCTGTCACCGGTGGTTATTGTCGAGATGACGTTCCCAACCAGACATTCGTATGTCAGCTAAGATAGTTTGTCGAGGAAGGGTGTGACTGGGCATGCGTAACTGGTATATTAGTCATTTCAAATGATTTAGCTTCACAACCTCCTCAACTAACTGCCCTTCTTCACCTAGTACTCTACATTCAGCCTCAAAAATGCTTGTCATATTGTGTCAGTTAACACGTTTGATAGAACACAAACACTTGGGGTGAAAAAAAAACAGCCGACCACTTCATGTCTTCCGCTTATAATGGCCAAACCAACATCCATAAAGAAAGACTGCTGCACAGTACACAACTTCCTTTGATTAATGATACCTCGATATCACATCTGCGCCAAAGAAATGGCCTAAGTATCTGTGCTGAGATTTCTTCAGCAATCAGACTATTAGGTATGATGCAACTTCACAAGTAAGTCAACACGCTCTACTGCTTCATGCCTTATTTTTTGAGTTATGTGTCGGTTTATACGGGCCTGCAGCATTATCTCAAATGCAATATTAGAAATTTTCATGGCAAACATTAGAAGATTTCTGTCCAAAGTGTTCAGAAGACATCCTTTTACTGGTGTTTTCACCTAGCCAGAAAATATCTACAGAAGGATCTCAGTTGATAAGACTGTTCCTAATTCGTTAAAGTTGGTAAGGGTCAATTCCACTGTCACATGGATAATGACTAGAAGTGGGGAAAATGGCATATCCGACAGATAATTACTTCATTTCAAACATCAAGCCAATTAAACTTTCAAAAAATTGTATTTTGAATGGAGAACTTATTAAACTGAATATCATTTGTCAGTAGAGAAATTCATTTATGTCTCCTCATCTCATTTATTTCTTGTATATACGACTACTTGGTAATAGAAAAAGCTGGTTCTTATTTTCGTTATGTTGATGATACGCTTATTATTCTTGACGTGAAAGCTGACAAGAATGAAATGTTAAAAAAGTTTAATGATGCACATCCATCGCTCATCTTCATTTGTGAAGAAGAATATGATGATGGACTACATTTCCCTGACGTCCCATTGGGCAGAAGAGGGGATGGTTCACTAAAGAGAGATGTCTATAGAAAACCTACATCTGTGAGACAATATACACATTTCCTCAGTTATGCACCAATCCGATACAAAATCAATTTGGTCAGATTCCTGACGAATAGAGCAAGACGTATCTGTACACATGACTCCCTAGAGAATGAGCTAGGATACATCCAAAATACGTTAGTCCAAATGGGTTATCCTAGTAGATTTGTCAGGAGACACATGAATGCTAAGTACAATAAAGAAAAACCGACAACACTTGAAAAGAAACAACTGTTCATGAAACTGCAATCTGATGGGGACGTGGCTAGCCAAGCCTTACATCTGAGATTATCGACAGCGATAAAACCTACTTATACTGCCACCACCCTTTGTTTATCATTTTCTAGCTGCCGACCAGTTATGAACGCTCAAGTGAAAGATAAGCTACCTAGCTGTGCCACTTCTATGTGTATCTATAAATTTAGTTGCTCCTGTGGAGAGAGTTGGCTATATAGGACAAACAACTAGACAGCTTAACAAACGCATTAATGTGCATCTCCATTCACTCATGGTTCGAAAAAGGTCAAATAAAATCCATACGAAGTTCTATTTTGGCTAATTTGATTGATGATAGCGGTCACCAAGTGGACAAAATAGTGCCTTCAAAGTTATCTATCGCATTCCATCGAGTCTTTCGAGCGGGAATCGAATCCGCCTTTTACACTTAGCCGAAGCTATGGGAATTAATTCGAGAGAACAATCCTAGTCTTTGCATACAACAAAAGAAGTTTGTTCTACTATTGTCTCTCTCTCCCTTGTTTGCCTAGGTGAATTCCATTCAAAACCCTCCCACCCTTTCTTATCATACCTCTCCTTCGTACTTTTATGATATTTATTTAAACTCTGATTATCTGTCCACTACATCTACCTTTAGTATTACGTAACTTTTAAGATTTGAACTAATTTATTTATTTATTGAATTGTCTACATATACACGCGTATTACTACCTTTGTTATTCTTATCGTCACCTGCATAAACCTTATTAATATTTTGTTATCATTATAATCATCGTTATTAATGACGTTCAAAACATTGACCACATTATTATTACTATTTGATCCACGAAGTCACCGTGATTGGTTAAAAATTTTTATAAATAAGTCTATGTAAATTAGAGTAAAGCCTGAAGAAGAGGATCTAACTAAAGCAGCAATAATAACTGGATGACATTTCGAGTATAATTCATTTCTCATAGTCGATCAGATGAACTTGACAAAGAACGAGTAGGATGAAACAGCAGCTGTCCAGTACCCCATTACTGGTTTTCAATAGTTCTCTAACTGATATCAATTCGTTACCAAGTCGTCAAAGCAAATCTTATCCTTACAAACTACATCTTGAAAGATAAATTCGCTGAATATTGTGTTGTTAATGTTACAATAGGAATTATTAATTTCTGTCCTACTATTCTGTTCTCGTTTTTTTTAACTTTGCTGTTTAGCAAAGCTGATCGACCCACCAAAACATTATTCAGCATATTAGAAGTCACCCCAGTAAATTAGAGTCAAGTCATGGAAAGACCAGAGCTTGCATGTACACAGTTGCAGTAAGACATCCTGTAGACTAATTATCAATGTCTAAAAAATTAAGTATGTTCCAAAAAAACCTACCAACCTAATACATTGAAATTTTGAAGACTATTATTATATGTCAATTTTTTAAAGCAATACTTGTGAGCCCATAATTTAGCTATACTTTCAGATGCAAACTGGAAGATATGCAAGTGAAAAGCAACAAGCTGGCAACAGAAGAAGCATCAAAGATAGGCCTCCAGGTGAACATAGAGAAAACAGATGTGGTGATGAAGATTCCTGGGAAACACCAACAGCGATAGCAACAACTACAGACAACAATCAGCATAAGTGGGAAGAACCTGAAAGAAACAACCTCCTTTACTTACCTGAGAAGCATAGTTTCAACTACAGGCGGACGGAACTGACGAGGATATAAAAGCAAGGATCGGGAAGGCAAGACAAGCTTTCATTACTCTGAAGTCTGTGTGGACGTCAACAGCACTCAGCATGAAAATGAAAATAAGATCCGGATTTTCAACTCCAATGTGAAGTCAGTGCTACTATACGAATGGATCAGAGACTTGGTGCGTCATGAAGAGGACCTCAGACAAACTACAGACATTCATCAACAACTGTCTTCGCTCAATACTCAAGAGCAGATGGCCGGCCAGAAAAGATCAGAAACAGGGATCTCTGGCAATGAGTGAACCAACCCAGCAGGAACTGATTGTGCAACAAATATGCAGGAAGAACTGCAGGTGGATTAGATTGGCCATACTCTGAGAAAACAAACCACCAAGTGAGTGACATCACTAGACAAGCCCTCGAATGGAACCCGAAAGAGAGGTGGCGAGTTGGTCGTCATTACGATGGTAACTTGGAGGAGGTCATGTTAAGAGGAGATGAAAGCATGTGGGCAGACATGGAGTCAAGTGAAGACTCTAACAGAGAACCGAACGCTGTGGAGACGCGCGGCTGACGCCCTATGTTTCTCTAGGAATTAAAGGAAATAATACGTCGGATGCTTTGTGCTTCAAATTTATGAATTAGCAGTAACGTCAATCAATACGAGAGAGCAGTTTTGAATATCACACTGAACTGCATAACCAATTCGTTGGATGAATTAAATAAATCTCAGCGTTTCCTTTGCTTTCATAATCTGAAAGGTAATCTTGTGTGTGTTCTTAAGTGTAGCTGAATCAAACAGTGATGTAGGTAGATTAGTGCATTCGCTGCAAGATTGTGCTATATAATACACAGATCTGTCAGACACTCAAAGCTGTGTTGACAAACTTATTCAAAAAGCAAGTTGGCGCAGTACGGTATCTTCTAATTCAAAGCTGAAAGATTCAAACCGGAAATTGACAGCGCATAATCCTTTGAGTTTGAAATCCGAGATATCCAATGCGCCTTGTCATGAAATAAGAAGTTTTCACCACATCGTTTATCTCTCTGCTACATAAAAATACAAAATTAATTATTCGGTGATTTTGCCACTCTTCAATTTTTTGGACGAATGTTTGTCATCTCGCTTCAGAATACAGTTATAGGATTAATCATGTCTTTCCTTCTTCCGGGCTTATGATCTACTGTTCTGGCCAAACTAACTAACATTAGTGGGGTTATAATTTACATAAAACAAAATTTACAGGGAGTCACAACAGCAGAGAAACTTTTCCTCTCTTGAAGAATCATTTTCAAAAGCTTTACAGTCATGTTTACATTGAACGATGAATTCCTAAAACGAAATAAGATACTGGTAACTATAATCTAAATAGTGTATCACGTAATTTAGAACACTATCTACAAGAGAATATACAATGGCGATTATAAAACGGAAGTTAGAATTACGTAGCACTTCGAAACCAGAACTAAACACGCGTTTTCAGTTTGGGGATGCGCAACTTACTAGTATACCTCAATATCCTACCTAAATGACAGTCAACTGTCCGTCGGTGTTAGTCAGCTGTGCCCCACGTGATTCTAGGTTCAACCCTCGGCCGACGCAATCCTCTATCTTGCTAAACCAGTAATAAGACTGGTAAAGAGGGAAGGTTGGGGGCATGATGCT